TTCCAATCTTGCATCAATATCTTACGGAAATTTGCATTTAAATTAAATCAATAAAATAGGTTAATTAGCAAAATATGTATCTTAAGCAAGATATAAAATAGTGGTTAAGATACGTCTACGTGAAAAAAACGTGATTGACTGTTGGGAGAAATATAAAACAAAAAAAAAATCCTTATTTTGCATTTTTCTTTCTCTCTCGCTCTCTCTCTCTCTAAAAACGTCGAACGACGAACGACGAAGATTTCACCGAATCAGACGTATATCTGATGGGTATCATCGGCCGACGTTGTTCCATTGTTAGCTCATCATCTCCACCGCCTCTGGCTATATATGGCGTCTCTGGTTGACCAAATCAGCGTTGTTGGATTACGAAATGGGGACAGTTCACTAGATGTCCAAATTTCGATAAAAAATCGTGTTTGTGACATTGAAATCGGAGTCATTGCGAGGAGTAATCGGTAGTTGAAGGTATGTTTTCGTATTTAGTTGTGTTAATTGATGTGATTTAGGAATATAGAAATTAGGGTTCGTCGGATCTGGGAATTTACGGTTTCAAAATTTAGGGAAAAGTTGTTATTCATTGTTAAGTGTTTAATTAGGCCAAGTAGAGGGATGTATGAGTGTGTGGTTGATTGTAAAGCATGATTGGTGAAAGAAACAAGTATTGGTTCATCGGATTTGGGAAATTTTAAATTGTTTGGGGAAAATTGTTTATTGGATGTTAAATCTATAATTAGGGGAATTCTAAGCATGTTTGAGTGTGTGGTTGATTGTAAGTCATGATTGGAACTGGGAACTACTCTTCCTTAAACCCGATTTTTGATAGTGTATTTTTTTCTTAGGTGTGGTCAATTGTTACATTAATAGTCTGTTGGATCTTAATTGTATTCATGAATATCTTGTTGTTTGCATGAAAATTAGGTTTATTTGAGATGTTTATGCTTGAAATGTTAGTTGATTTGGTTTATGTTGATCTTGAATTTTAATGATTGTTCTCTGTTTTATGTGTGAGGTATGGTGGTCATTGGATATTGGAAATGCTGAGTGGAGATATTATCAGAGAAGTGAGAGGAGGAGTATCAACAATCAATATTGTTCAATGCTTGTATGTTGTTCATTAGGTCTAGAGTTAAGTTTGCTATTAAATGCTAACCACATATGTACTTAAAACCCCATTCTTAACCTAACTCTATATGAAAACAACTCAACTTTCATTCTCTTTGCCTAAAATCGATTCTCTCTTTCACTATAACATAACATTACTTTCATTCCTTTTCATTCTCTTCTCCAAATGAATCCATTTGGTAACTCTTCTGGCTTCATTGAGCTATTAAACAGTCGACAAGCATCCCCTACCTTTGAGCCCATTAACTTTGATAATGCATCACCAAGTATTAGACTTGGTGAATATGAAATACCCTTCTTCGGCCCCCAATCGTCTGAACCTCCTACTGAAGGTGACAGCCGCACTGTTAAAGGCACATCAAGAAAGAGGATTACTTGGACTTCCCAATAAGATTTGGTGTTGATCTCGGCCTGGTTAAGCACATCCAAAGATGTCATTGTAGGCAATGAGCAAAAGGGAGAAGCCTTCTGGAAGCGGATTGCAGCATATTATGCTGCAAGTCCCAATGTTTTTTCTCTGAAAAAGAGAGAGCCAGGCCACATTAAACAAAGATGGGCAAAGATTAATGAGTATGTTTGTAAGTTTGCTGGATTTCATCAAGCTGCAACAACTCAGATGGGTAGTGGTTGAAATGATGATCTCATTAAGCTAGCCCACCAAATTTATGATGGTGATCACAAGAAGAATTTCAACTTGGAGCATGCTTGAGAACCTCAAGACATGATCAGAAGTGGTGCTCATTACAGACTTCTAGAGTGATTGAGATGAGTAAGAGAAGAAAGGGTGAATCCTTTTCTGTATATTCATCATAAGCTTTCCAAGGCTCTGCAGATTCTGAACCTTGTCAACAAAGACAACCTGGTGTAAAGGCTGCCAAGGGGAAAGGAAAAAGAACTGCCACAAGTTCACCAAGCGTGGAAGCATGGGGGCAGTCAATGGACAAGGTTCAGAACTTGTGGGACATAAAACAAGCGCATTTTGCTTTGAAACAACAAGAACCTGCTTTGAATGACAAACTTAGTAACAAGAAATTCCTTAAAACGTTGCTGGCTAAATCTGATCCTCTAACTAACATTGAGGAAGCACTAAAAACCAAGCTAATTAGGGAGATGTTGCTTTGAATGTTTTGAGGAAGCACTTAAAACCAAGAAATTGCTTATTGTTTTGGATGTGTTTATGTATTATGTTTGAACTAGTTTGTGTCTTTAAGTGATTCTCTGTAAACTTAGTGTATTATGTTTTGTAGATTCAAGGTTGACTAACTATTTGTGTTTGCTTCTGGTTGTAGCTTCACGGATGTGTTATGTTTGTTAACAGCCACAAGAAAACTCTCATGGACACAACAAGACAACTCTCATGGACAGCCGCAGCATTTCTCTTCATGGACACAACAAGACAACTCTCATGGACAGCCACAAGATTGAAGCTTCACGGACAGCACAAGACACCAGAACACTTATATTTTGATAGTCTTGCTATATATATGGCCGTGTAATCTATATTTAAGACATTCTCTTTTCTTATCTGAATGCATTCATGTCATCCTCTTTTGTTATATTTTCAATTCATTCTCTTTTCTTATCTAAAAGTCATTCTCTTTTCTGGTTAAAGACGTAAAACAAATAATCCAAACCAAGTTCTAATATCATTCTCTTTCCTTTTACTTGTACCAATCGAAGCTTTCTTATTTTCTTTTACTTGTAGAAAACCAAGCTTTTATACAAAAGCCAAACAATTATTTGTACCAATCCAAGCTTTCATATTATATTCTCCTACCAAATCAGTCCAAGCCATCCTTTTTATTTAAAACAAAAAAATCCTATATTTTCTACTTCTTTCAATGGCATCATCTTCCTGTGATGAATTAGGAGAAGCTTTAGACGAAGAATTTGAAAATATTTTCCAACAAGAATTAAATAATTGTTTGTACTCTTACGGTGATCGTCAACAAGCCAGAAAACCCAAAGAAAAAGAGTCTATATTGAAAGACACCGAGAAAAACAACACAACAAGTTATGGAACGATTATTTTGGAGAAAATGCCACTTATCCTTCTTCTGTATTCCGACGTCGTTTTAGAATGAGTAAGCCCTTATTAATGCGTATTGTTGATCGGCTATCCAATGAAATTATTTTCTTTCAACAAAGAAGAGATGCTATCGGAAGGTCCGGTTTCTCTGCACTGCAAAAGTGTACAACAGCAATTCGTATCCTTGCATATGGTTGTGCGGCTGATGCGATTGACGAATACCTCCGGATTGGTGAAACCACTTATTTTGTCCACGGAATAATTTATTGCTTTACAGATGAGTACCTAAGAAAACCACCCCAGAAGATCTTCAAAGGCTACTCATTATTGGAGAGATTAGAGAATTTCCCGGGATTGATGGGAAGCATCGATTGTATGCATTGGGAGTGAAAGAGTTGTTCAACCGCTTGGAAAGGGCAATATATACGTGGTTCTGGAAAATCAACGATCGTATTAGAGGCTGTATCTTCCCAAGATCTTTGGATATGGCATGTGTTTTTGAACGATATCAATATTCTTGATCGCTCTTCTATTTTTGATGACATCTTAAAAGGACGAGCACCAAAAGTGAAGTATATAGTCAATGGGAACGAATATCATTGGGGTTACTATCTGACTGATGGAATTATTCTAAATGGGCTTCATATCTAATCGATTCCACTTCCACAATGTGAGAAAACATCTTTATTTGCCACCAATCAAGAAGCTTGCCGTAAAGATGTCGAGCGTGCTTTTGGAGTTTTGCAAGCTCGATTTGCCATTGTAAAAAATCCGGCTCTTATTTGGGATAGTAAAAAAATTGGGAATATTATGCGAGCTTGTATAATACTTCACAATATGATAGTAGAGGACGAACGAGATACGTATACACAGTTTATTGTCAAAGAATTCGTACAAGCGGAATCTTCCTGAATTACACGGGTGGATTTCACCTATTCTTCAGAAATGCCTTCCAATCTCGCCGATATAATGACCACGAGAACTCAAATTCGTGATCGAGTTATGCATGAACAATTGAAGAACGATTTGGTCGAGCATATATGGACAAATATTCCACAAATCACGTTTAAATTAATTGGGTTTTATATTATTTATGCAATAAATTGTATCTCATCTATGTTTTAAAATTTTTATTTTGCAATAATTATTAAGTTTTCTATAATTAAAATTGTTAAAAAAATATTTATTAATATTTTAATCTTTAGATCCACAACTTACGAACGTACCAATCATCCAACATAAAAAAAAAAACTTAATTACACCAAGATGCTTCAAGAAGACCAAACTATTAGCATTTCCCATTGACTTAATTGAATTGTACAAGTGGCTATAATGAATCACATTAATGCCCAATTAAAAAACTCTTAGGATATATATATTTTTCTGTCTTCAACTCTTAGTATATTTTTTTTGGGAAAATTCCATAAAACTTCCCCATCTAATTTTAATTTGGAAGTTTAATACCCAATGTTATTTGATTGGAAACAAAATGCATGGTTTATTAATTTGTTGTCTATTAATACATCAAGTATATAAAAATTGTCGAATCGAAAAAACCGCTTCACAAACGATACTCGGATTGACAGAATCACTAAAACGGGGTTAATGGGATTACACTAAACTTAGTGTTTATCGATCACAAATTCGATTTGGGGTAATAGCAAAGGACAATGCGGTCTTTGGATGACCCCAAATTACTCGTGTGTTTAGGGATTAGTGATTTCGTCAACTTCGGTTTAGTGATTCCGTCAATCCGATTAAGCGGTTTATTCGATTCGACAATTTTTATATACTTAATGTATTAATAGACCAAAATTTAATAAACCATGCATTTTATTTTCAATCAAATAACATTAGGTATTAAACTTCCAAATTAAAATTAGATGGGGAATTTTTATGGAATTTTCCCTATGATAAAATAATTATCTCTTTACTTCCTAATTGGTGCTTTTCCATGAGGTGATCGCATGTCTCGGATCTTCTTTTCTTTTGAAAGTATTCCTGCTAACCTTCAATAGCCAAAAAAATAATTTATTATTAGTTTTCCTACTAAATCACATAAATATGAATGAAATAAACCAATCAAATGCAAATTTATGTCACTTACTTTATAAGAGCATGTTCATTAGTTGCTTTGTAAGCATTTTCGTTAGAACCCGAGTCTAGGTTGACTTTTGAAACATGTTTCTTGAGCAGTTCTTCTCCTGTCTTCGCGAGAATGTCAAGATTCTCGACAGTAGCGATATCAACCGAAGCAGTATCACCAGTTAATGTGTCATCCTATGTCATGGAAAAAATCCAAATTTTAGAAATTATGGCGATAAAAAAAAAGGCTACTACACTTATATAACTTAATTAGTGAGTTGATCATCATACTTGAATGCGAATGTAATTGGCTTCGGAATGAAGAGCTCGAAAGACGGCAGAGAGATGAAAATCAACCATATCGGAGCTAGCTTGCGTAAAAGCATCAATGAGAGGTGTGGAGCTGTCATGTGTTAACCAACTCAACAATCCCCAACCAGCTACTTCTTTTGCATTGAATTTCTCTTCGCATTTATGATTACCGGTTCCAAGGGAAAGCACAAGAAACCTTCCATAATCATTTGGTCTTATAGGAAAAAAATCACTACTCCCTCTTGTAATCTCATTTGTTACCTCCCCAATGGCCACCAAAGCCTATACAAGACATATAACAATTATATATATGATATATTATTCAAGATTTCTATAAAAAAGTTTATACTAAAATTTAAATTTAAGGCTATGATTGTGTTAATATATATAAGTCTGAAAAATGTTAGTATTCATTGAAATACTATTTAAATTTCTATAAAAAGTTTTATACTATAATTTAAATTTAAGGCTATGATTGTGTTGATATAGATAAGTCTAAAAATGTTAATATTCATCGAAATGCTATTGCGACAAAAATCTAATCGTTAGAAATTTACTGGGTTGTTAGCTGCAACTCCGCCATCAATAAGATTGTATTCTTTTACTTTTCCGGTTGAATTATCTTCAACTTTAAAGAAATGGGCAGGCAAGTATGTAGGGGCAGCTGAAGTTGAGATAGCAATGTCAGCGAGGGTTGCATTCTTGAGAGGATTGTTTTTCACCTATAATATAAACATATTGATAATATACCAAACTATTGTTAATTAAAAGAATTAATAGTAAGTTAACATATACGGACAAAACTAAACAAACCTCGTAACTACTAAAGATAGTAGGTTGAAGATGCTTGATATCGAACGTTGGAATGACAACGTTGGTAAGTGTTTGATTTAACTTAGTATCACCCAACTTAGCATGGATAAGTTGATGAAGGTATTCACCATCATATTTAGGACCAGTCAAGGACTTCACAAGGTTTTTCGCGGCCGAGAATGGGAAATGATCTTGAGGGAAGATCTTTGGACAATGCTCAAGATAGAAATCTTTGATTTCGGAGGCTGCGAACAAGGGTCGGCCTTCCTTGTTAGGAGCGGTGAGCATGGCTGTAACCAGACCACCGGTGCTTGTTCCTGCCATTACATCAAAGTAGTCCGCAAGCCTTGCATCTTCTCCATCCAATTTCTATATATACATCCATAGAATCAAAATAAGAACAATGTTATAGACATGATATACTTATAGTTTGGTAAGCACATGATATATACCTGAAGTTCGGATTCGAGAAATCCAAGGATAACAGCAGGGATAAGCCCTCTAATGCCACCACCATCGATGCTTAGGATTGTTACTAAGTTTCCATAAGTTGGAGGTTGAAGAGGTGATTTTGGGCTATCCATTTGCATCTTAAAGAAAAATCAAAGGCAATGTGTTGATAGTTTTTGTTAAGGGATACGAATATATTATTACTTGAGGAGATAAAACTTTAGTTGTGAGATACTATGAAGTGGTTAATAAACTCATGTATTTATAGGACACAAGTGGCTGCTGGTTCAAAGTTAGACCATGTCTTCAGTCTTAGGATTTATATTCCACTCGTCAAATTAACTTGCATAGCTTCGTTCGTTTGGTTTGAACTTTAATTTGATTGGTTATGGATTTCTTGCCTTTGTAGACAAGATGGACTTTTACGTACGTAAACCTCTTTTCTTCTTTTGCATTAAGACCATGTCAACCCATTTATTTATAACAAAACTATACCAATAATATATATATATATATATATATATATATATACCATTTACACACACATATATATATATATATATATATAATTGTGCAAACAAAATCAATTTATCAAGTTTTTGGGTTCTTGGAGTGTCACTTGAATAGTTTATTATATTCATTCTAATTGAATTTTAAGCTTTTTATTTGGGAAATACTATTATGCAATAAATATATTCGGTTCAACAGCTCTATTTCAGTTTTTAATATGGGATGAAGACAGCCGAGTCATGAGAGTTTTGAAAAATCAATGCCGTGACAAAAACGAAATTACAAAATATATCTTTTATGGCAAAATAAAAATTTCAGCCGCCACTCAATACTTATCCCATCAATGCAAGCTGGAGACTTACCTCTCTTTTTTTTTGTCATCGACCAGTTTAACATACTATATTTGTTTTGATGAAATGTGTAATTAATTATAGTTTTTTCTAGAGAAATACTTGGATTCATTCAAGAGGTGAACTTTTTTTTTACCTTCTATTAATTAGTAAATCAAAATAAAATAATATCATATCATATAATATTTTAAAAATAAATTAAAAAACAAACAAATCTTAACCACTATTTTATAAAACCAAACCGAAATACAAATTTTTTTAACTACAAAATATAAACCCTAACCCTTATTTTATCAACCTAAACCGTAATATAATTTTGTTTAATTACAAAATCTAAACTTTAACTACTATTTTTTCAACTCAAACTCAAATATAATTTTCTTTATTTACAAAATCTAAACTATAATCACTAATTTGTGAATCCAAACCGAAATATAATTTTGTTTAACTACAAAATGTAAACCTTAACCACTAATTTATAAACCCAAACCCGAAATATATTTCCTTAATAAAAATCCTACATAATTTTTTTTCCTTAATTTGCTTTATTTTTTTATTTTGATTTTGATTTGATTATTTAAATAAAAAATGACATGACATATTGTTGTATTTTGATTGACTAATTAAGAGTAGGTGAACAAGAGTGGTTCACCTCCTAGGGATGAACCCAAATATATATATATTTTTAACATACTATATTAATTTCAAATGATATTATGCAAATAATATCAAGATACTACAAAATCTAAACCTTAACCACTAATTTATAAACCCAAACCCGAAATATATTTCTTTAATAAAAATCCTACATAATTTGTTTCCTTAATATGCTTCATTTTTTTATTATTATTTTGATTCACTTATTTAAATAAAAAATAAAATGGCATATTGTTGTATTTTGATTGACTAATTACGAGGAGATGAACAAGAGTGGTTCACCCCCTAGGGTGAACCTATGTATATATTTTTTTAACATTGTACTATATTAATTTCAAATAATATTATGTAAATAATATTAAGAGAATATTTTGAGAAATACCTCTTCTGGTATACTCCTTTTCAAAAATAATCCTTTTTATATAACAATTTATAAAAAATACCCCTGTTTAAGTATAAAATTTATAAAATTTTATATGGTTTATAAGGTACTTCAAGATATTAACTACGACTAGGAGATTCAATCCAAATAATTTAAAAAGTTTTAAAAGGTTTTAACTCTGTTTTAGATGGTTTTAAAAGGGTTTAAAAGGTTTAAGAAAAATTATAATGTACTTATATAGTATTTATGAAATATATATAAAATTTTACACATTTATAAAAGTAATTTGTGTGTATATTTATAAGCTTACACAAGTTGTAACACCTGTGTCCTGTTTTTAGGACATTGTTGATCGACACCAAGTAATTTTTTATCGGTTTGGGCGGTTTAGCTTAATTGTCGGTTTAAGTGAATTGGTTTAAGAAAAGCCCTAAAACTTGACTTAAACTCGATAGCAGTCTCTGTCTTCTCACTTTTGGCTTTTGGTGTTTCCTGATAGCAAAAGAGAGAGGGAGTGTGTTGGAGTGGCACGACCGTGGGTCGATGGCTGGGCTCGGAAACCGTCGGAGCCTTCGATAGAAGGTTTGGGGTGGAGAGTACCCTTCGTACAAATGAAGGAGTACTCGGAGTGGATGTTTGTGGATCGATTGACGACATGTGAGCTATGGAAAAGAACTCACGATACGGTCGGCTTGAAGATCAACAAAACCCGGTTCGAGGATCTTCAAGGATTTTCGATCTCTAAGCTTTACGGCTCGAGAAAACAAAGAGAGACGCGAGAAAAGGAAACATTTTCGGTAGTTTATTCAAGCGTCCCGATTACATTCGAGAACCTTGCCTTTAAATATACAAGTGATCGAGAAAGTGGGCCTAAAGTTGCCCTAGACACGTGGGTCTTTAAGCTCCATACAAAGGAAAAGCGAGAAAGCGCGTTTTCTAACGGCTCTCTCGGTCAAAGGTGAAAAGGTCGAGTAATTCTCGATAAAAAGGTAAAAGCTTGAGAAAACTCTCGGTAAAAAGTGAAACGACAGAGAATTCTTCGAGAGAAATAGAAACGGATTGATAAAAATCGACGGAGAAGGCTTTATTGGTGGTGGATGCCTTCTTGGAGATAGGATCTTCACTTCCTCGGCTCCGGAGCTTGTCTACGAACGTTTCCAAACCGTGAGTCGAGTGGGATCGAAGTGGAGATGCATTAGACTTGCTGCCTCGTTAAAACCCCTTCGGTAAACCCATTGGGACAAACCCGAAGTTGGGAAAAAGAGTACAGCTCCCCTAACGTCTTAGGGATGCCTTCACACGGACGTGGGGGTGAAGGCACTCGAACGAAGCTTTCCCAAAGCTTGTCTTGATCGAAGGTTCCTCGGTGGTGATGCGGTCCACGAATCTTCAGTGAGAATGGTTGAAGCTCGGCTTGTCGAAAGGTTGATCGTTAAAGAAGAGCATGAGATGACCTCGCCTTGCTCGTCTTGATAATCCTTGTTGATGTCTTGAAGTGTTGAGGCTGAATCCTTGTCGTCGAGATGATCGCTTGTTGAAGACTTTGCCCGAACGGTTGATAGATGCGGCCGGCCGGATGGTGCTCTCGGACGGACGGACGGCGGCCTTGGTGACTCGATGTCCGGGGACACATCATGGAATTTTCTCTTGAGGCTTCAAAAGAGATTCTAGAGAAGTTTCTGGAGGCTTCTGAAGGCTGTTCATGGGTGTTCTAGCAAGGGATCAGTGGGATTTGTGGATGGGGCGTGAAGAGAGGTTGCTGGATTGTTCTTCTTCTTTGTTTTGTCCATCCTTTAGATTCATATCAAAGTTGAGTGCGTGACCATGGCTGATTTGAGCATGTGTATTTAAATGATTTGGATGGCTGGAAATTGTTGTATGTGGCTTGTTTGTGTGTTTTTGTTGTTGTATTTGCATGATTGAGTGTTAGGGTTCATGGTGGGAGATTTGGTGGTAGTTAATTCGTTATATGGAGAGTTGATAGGCAATTTTAGGGTTTATGCGGAGGTGGTGTCGGTAGACACCAGTTAGGGTGTCGGTAGACACCAGTTAGGGTGTCGGTCGATGCTTGATGTGATAATGGGAAGCTTGGAACATGGAGATAATAAGCAGCTTGAACCTTAGGAGCTTGAAGTGAACAAGCACCTTGAAGATGAAGATATTGGAGCTAAAGAAGCATTGCACATCCCTAAAGGTCCTATGACAAGATCAAAGGCGAAGCTTCTAAGTCAAGCTATTACCACACTTCTACAACAAGTCCAGGGTAGTCTAGAGTGTGCTTATCCAGCCATGTTGGTTGTGATTCAGCCCACTTAAGTGGAGACAGTGGAGGTGTGTGACTTGTACTCTTTTTCCCTACTGTTGTGAAACAAGCGTTTTCAGTGTCTTGTTAGAGTTCAAATCCCCAGTGCAATGTAGCACATGAGGTTATCAATGCAAATAGGTGTATTGCAAACAATCAAGATATAGCAGAACTAATCGAGTCAAGCCAAGTGGTTGAAAGTTTGGAATTTAGAACTCAAATGCATAAAAGTAAACTACATAATGAAAAACTAAAAAGATCTAACAACAATTCTGAAGATAAGCTAAAGGATCTAAGAATACTAAAAATGCAATAACTACAGAAGCAATACTGAAAGCATAAATAAAAGCAGGTAAACAATCAGATAAACAAGGGTCTTAAGGATAGGCTAATGGGGTGATGAATTCTCTTTAGCTCTTGGGGATGCTTAACATGCTCAAATAGATCTAATCCTAGACAATGAACCACTTAACCTAATCAGTCCAATCTCTTGGTAAAGATTATCAGATCTATAGCACTTCCTAATCTCAACTTTCATTGATGAAACATACTATAGATAGGCATAAAGAACAAGCTCATTAATGTCAATCTACTCCTTAACAGCCAATCTCTTGGGTAAGTAAATAGATCTCTGGCATTAGTTAATCAGACATTCCATAGAACACTTTTTGAGTGCTGGAGTGTTTAAGATCTAATCCCACATGGTTAATGCAAAGACTAGCAATTAAATCTCCTAATCCAGAAGGTATCTACCTGAATCTATACTTAAGCATCCCTAGAAACTAAGATTCCTCATCACCTAACCCATCCTCTAAACCCAGAAAACTACTCAGATCTGGAATTTATCATGAAGAACATAAACCCAGAAATCTTTAAATCTTGCATAACGAGATAGATAATGATCTAAGGAGCAAAATAATATAAAGAGGCAACTCTAAAAACTCAATAGATCAAAAGATATTGAGATTACAAGTTTCTGGAAATGTTTGATGGCTACAGAGAAAACCCTAATGAAAACTCGATTTTTGGCTTAATGACCC